CTTGCTGCTTCTAGGATTCTCTCCTTCATTTGAATCTTGGCTAATGTAATTATGATGTGCCTTGGTGTGTTCCTTCTTGGGTCCAACTTCTTTGGGACTCTCTGAGCTTCCTGGATTTCCTGGAAGTCTATTTCCTTTGCCAGATTGGGGAAGTTCTCCTTTATTATTTGTTCAAATAAGTTTTCCACTGGTGGCTGTTCCTTTCCCCCTTCTGGTACCCCTATAATTCGGATGTTGGAGTGTTTAAAGATGTCCTGGAGGTTCCTAAAACTCTCCTCATTTCTTTGAATTCTTGCTTCTTGACTCTTTTCTGTTGGGCCATTATTTGCTTTCTTCTGGTCCACTCCATTGATTCGAGTCCCAGTTTCCTTTTCATTGCTATTGGTGTCCTGTGAAATTCCATTCATTTCCATTAGTTTCGCCTTCATATATTTGTCCAATTTGTGGCTATAATCAACCAGTTCTGTGAGGATCCTGATGAGCAGTGTTTTAAACTCTGCATCTGAGAGTTTTGCTATTTCTTCATTGCTTAGATTTATAGGCTCGGGGCTTTGAGATCTTCTTGCGCCATTTTTGGTCTGTTCGTGCCCTTTAAGTGTGAGAAGTGGCGCCTTAGACTCCCAGGTCGCTGGGTTGTGATGCTGTATGTGGGGGCGTGGTCAGAGCGGGGAAATGGCAGCCCCCTCTGCTGGTTCTCACAGCTGGGTGAGGAGCAGAACCTTAGGTGGTTCACCTGGGCCGGGCAACTCAGAGTCGCTGGGTTATGACGCAGTATGTGGAGGTGGGGTCAGAGCAGGGAAATGGCGGCGCCCTCCCTGCCGCTAGCCATGGGGACCGGCTGGGTCCCAGTCCCATCGCCTACTCCCTAGCCTGTCCACCTGCACACAAATGCGGGACCACAGTCAACATGCAGCCCCGCTCCCCCGCTGTCTCCTCCTCCGTCGCTCGCCTAGTCGCTCGCTCGGTCACTCACTAGGTCCAACCCTGAGCCTGGATTCCACGCGCCTGGATTCTGCGTGCCTGAGTCTGTCTGACCGAGTTTTCCTGTGCATCACTGCTTCACCAGCCGCTGGTTTCGCCCCTTACCGGTCAGGCTGAAGAATTTGTTGTTAACAGACTTCCGAAAAGTTCAATTTTCCATGTTCTGGCTGTGTTTTCTGTTGCTAATATTTAGTCGTCTCTAAACTTCGTTGTGTGAGAAGGCACGGCACATCCACCTATGCCTCCATCTTGGCGGAAGTACCTGTTCATAGGGTTTTTGAAAAAATTCATTTATCTTTAGACAGGAAGGGAAGGAGAGAGAGAAAGAAACATCAGTGTATGGTGCCTCTCGTGCGTCCCCTGCTGGGAACTGGCCTGAAACCAGGCATGTACCCTGACTGGGAATCAAACTGCGATCCTCTGGTTCACAGCCCTGTGCTCAATCCACTGAGCTACACCAGCCAGGGCTGTTCATAGGTTTTGATCTTCTTCAATTACTTAGATAAGTCCCTTTAGCATTTCATATACTAAGGGCTTGGTGATGATGCAGTCCTTTAACTTGACCTTATGTGAGAAGCACTTCATCTGCCCTTCCATTCTAAATGATAGCTTTGCTAGATAGAGCAATCTTGGATAATGGTCCTTGCCTTTCATGACTTCAAATACTTCTTTCCAGTCCCTTCTTGCCTGTAAGATCTCTTTTGAGAAATCAGCTCTCAATCTAATGGGAACTCCTTGGTAGATAAGTGTCTCCTTTTCTCTTGGTGCTTTTAAGATTCTCTCCTATCTTTCTTCTTGGGTAACTTAATGATGATGTGCCTTGATGAGGTCCTCTTTGGGTCCAACTTCTTTGGGACTCTGAGCTTCCTGGACTTCCTGGAAGTCTATTTCCTTGATGAGATTGGGGACTTTTTTTCTTCATTATTTGTTCAAATAAGTTTTCAATTTCTTGCTCTTGTTCTCCTTCTGGCACCCCTATGATTTAGATGTTGGAAGATTTAAAGTTGTCCTGGAGGTTCCTAAGCTTCTCTTAATTTTTTCAATTCTTGTTTCTTCATTCTGTTCTGGTTGGAGGGTTATTTCTTCCTTTTGTTCCAAATTGTTTCTTGGAGTCCTGGTTTCCTTTCTGATACCGTTGGTTCCTTGAAATTTTGCTTTGTTTCACTTAGGGTATCCTTCATTTGTTCTTTCATTTTGTGACAAAACTCAACCATTTCCGTGAGCATTTTGATTACCAGGGCTTTGAACTCTCCATCAGATAGGTTGGCTGTCTCCTCGTGGCTTAGCTCTCTTTCTGGAGTTTTGCTTTCTCATTTCATTTGGGCCATATTTCTTTGTCTCAGTGCACCTGTTAAGTTGTAGGGGAACAGGGCCTTTGGTACTCACCCTGGCAGGGCAACCCTCTTTGCTGGGGCTGTGGTGCTGCCTGTGGGGGAGAGGCCAGAGAGAGAACAATGCAGCTCACCTGCTGGGCTCTAGCCCACTTTGCAACGAACCCTTGAACCCTCAAGTGAGACTGGGCATTTCTCCCCCAACAGCAACCCCTGCCATAGTCTACAGTCAGCTGTGAGTCTGTTTCTGGTCCAGCCAGCCCTGCCCACATGGTCCACCACCTTGCCACAGGTTCTCTCTGTGCCCCTCGTACCGGTCTGGTTGGTCTGGTTGGTCTGGTTGACTGTTTCTTTAACTCCTTGGTTGTGGGAGTTCCATGCAGTTTGATTTTCTGGCACTTCTGGTTGTTCATTGTTTTCAGATTAGTTGTTATCCTCCTTTTGGTTGTATGAGGAAAGGAATGGTTTCTACCTACACCTCCATCTTGGCTGGAACTCTCCTCACGTGTGAGTTTTGAGGTCTATACCTAGGAATATAACTATTACATATTAAACTATTACTTCAGAGACAGGGATTGCAGGAGCCAAGAGATAGACGACCTTGTCCTTATCAGAACTCTGTACTGTTTGAATTTTTACAAATTGTGTTTTGATGATAAAACGTGATTTGTAAAGTGTTTTAAATGGGAAACTAGAATCTGTTCATGAGAAGTGGCTTTTCCATTAACTAATGATTGTAGTGGTGAAGGGAATCTCGATAACTGTAAACGCTGAGGACTATTCCATGTCTCATTGTGCAATTAGCTTATTTATTTGTTTACTCTTCATTGTCTGCCTTTCCCATTTGAATGGAAGCTCTGTGACAGCTGACACCTAAGTGCCTATAAAGTCATCAGTCCCAGCCTCCAACGTCACTCCCTCAAACTAACACAATAGCCTCTTCACCCTTCACTGCTTCTGCTCCTTCCCTGTGTATTCGTTTGCTAGGGCTACTGCAACCAAGGACCACAGACTGGGTGGCTTAAAGCCCTACAAATGGATTGTTTCAGGGTCCTGGAGGCTAGACATCCAATGTCAAGGTGTTGGCGAGGTTGATTCCTTCTGAGGCTCTGAGAGAGCCTGTTCTATGACTCTCCCCCAGTTCCTGGCAGTTTGCTGGCAAATCCTCCAGAATGGCTCTGCCCTCTCCCCTCCTGGGTCTGTATCTCTTGTCCTCTTGTTACAAGGACACCAGTCATTTTGGATGGAGGGCCCACCCTACTCCAGTAGGACCACCCTCACTGATTACATCTGCAATGGCTCTATTTCTGAACAAGGTTGCTTTGGAAGGTACTGGGGTTCGGACTATAAGATTTCTCTGTTTTGGGGGGGAGGGCTTGTACAAGGCAACCCATAAAGGCAGTACATCTTTTCTTTTTAAAAAAGATTTTATTTTGCCCTGGCTGGTGTAGCTCAGTGGATTGAGCATGGGCTGCGAACCAAAGGATCACCAGTTCAATTCCCAGTCAGGGCACATGCCTGAGTTGTGGGCCAGGTCCCTGGTTGGGAGCGTATGAAAGGCAACCACACATTGATGTTTCTCTCCCTCTCTTCCTCTCTCCCTTCCCCTCTGTCTAAAACTAAATAAATAAAATTGTAGAAAAAATTTTATTTTTATTTATTTTTAAAGAGAGGGAAAGGGAGGAAGAGGGGGAGAGAAACATCGATGTGCGGTTGCCTCTTGTACGCTACCTACTGGGGACCTGGCCAGCGACCCAGGCATGTGCCTGACTGGAAATGGAACCAGCTGCCCTTTGGTTGCCAGGTTAGTGCTGAGTCCACTGAGCCACACCAGCCAGGGCAAGGCAGTATGTATTTTGTTTATTATATGACATGTCTCCTCAGTAGAATGTAACCTTCACAAGCAGGGATTTAGTTAAATTTGATAGCCTTACAGATATTGTTGTTGACTTTTAAATTAGGTTAAACTTTTGAACAGGCAATCATTTACATGGTTGAAAGTCAAAATGATATTAAAATGTACCTAGAGAAGTCTCATTTCCATTCCTGCCTCTGGCTATCCAGTCTTCCCTACCTCGGTAAGTCACTATTTTGATTAGTCCTCCAGAATTTTTTATGAAAATATATACATATGTGCATATATATGTACCCATATAGTCTTATTTTCGTACTTACACCAAAAATATCATTATATACATAGGCTGCACCTAGCATTGTTTCCTTGAAACTATTTCCTGGACACCATCCCATATCATTTTATAGAGAACTTCATCTTTGTTACAGTGCTTTGTATTGCTTCTTAGGGACATACTATATAGTTGATTTAATCAACCACCTATTCATAAACAGGGGCAGAGACCCACCAGGCACACCCACTGAGGGGCACAAAACTGTGCCTGGTCTCCCTGGCGCTGAGGTCAGGCTGGGCCTGTGCACCTGCTGAATCAGCACTTCCCTAGCAGACGGGGGCTCCTGAGAGCTGCTCTTCATTTGTTTATGTTTACTTTTCAGACAAGAAATTTAGTCCATAACATAGGCAACAGGAAAACTAAAATCACAAAAGAAAAATCAATTTATTTGCCAAAATGAGCTTGTTCTCCAATCTGAAATCCAGGGCGGGGCGGGGCGGGGTGGGGCTGCAGGCCAGGCTCCAGGACTCTGGCCTTCTTCTGCTTGACCTCTGTGCCTGTTCACATTCAATCAGATTCTCCCTCCGAACTTCGGATGAAGCTGCCTATGGATGTGCTGCCCTTTCTCCTTTCCAAACGAAGTTCGGTCGTCTGTCTCCACACCACTACACAGCAGAGGGTGACACCACCTATTAAGTCTGTGAGTCCTGTCTCAGTGTCTGCAGGGCTGACCTCAGCACAGCGTGGCGCAGAGCCCGAGGTGGCCTCCAGGGTGCGCTCTCATAGCCCCAGCTCACGATCAGCACGTCTTGTCCTGGATTCTGCCACCTTCCCTGTCCTTTAGTGGGAAGCTCTGGTTTCTCTCAGAAGCTCTTCATGCACTGCGTGGACCCTTCACAGAACTGGGTGGTTTTCAGGGCTAACTGGCAAGAGGAAAAAAGAGAGAGAAAATAAGCAGGATTCCCCAAACTGTGAAGCACAAAGCCCATTTTCTGAGGTCCTCGCCAGAGACAGGGTTTTTCCTTTGCATTTCAGGAGCTTCTTCCCTGGCCATGGCTGCACCTTGAGGGCAGCAGCAGGGCCAGGAGAGGAGGAGGGGGAAGGGTGCCCAGCAGCCCCCACTGTGGCTCTGCCAGGCTCCTGTCCAGTCCTTTCTGCGTCCTTCCCACTCTGCTCATGGAGCAGTGCTAACACTCACCTCCTTCAGGACAGAGCTTAGATGCAGGCGGGGACCCACCAGGTCACTGCCATGCTGGTCACTCGTCCAGTTCTGACTTCCATCCCCAGTCTGCACACTGCTGCTTCGCTCCAGAATCCATGGACACCAGCTTCTCTGTTCTGTCCCAAGCTCTTGGTTGTCATCAGTGAGGGGGCGGCTGGCTGTGGACCTGCTCCATGCTGGTGGCTTCAGAACGATGTGGTGTCTTTAAAGGAACACAGGGGAGGAAGAGAGTGAGTGAACAGCAGGTGGACTTTCTGCTGTGCCGAAATCAGTGCCTGGTGTTGTCTTTACTCACAGTCCTCTGAAGTGCTGTGTTGATTGGCAGGATGCACTTCTATTTTCTTCTCCTCTGGTTGCTCTTCCTGAAGAGGGTGCATGGAGTTGGCTGCACACGCACCTGGACCGGAAGGTGGGCGTGCCGTCCCTGTGCCCAGACGCACCCTGTTCGTGCTGCTCTGTGTCTGAGTCCCTCTCACCAGTCAGTTCAGGTCAGGACAGAGGCGGGACCAGCCGTCGTGGCTCCTCCCAGGCCTTCCCGACACCACCTGTCCGTCTGTCCTGCACACCACTGGTCTGTGCTCCTTGCCAGCTGAATTTGGAGGGACAGCAAGCCTCCGGGGCACTTGGTGGAACCACACAGCAGAGAAGCCCTGGGTCCCTGAGTCCCTGTGTGGAGAGGATGAGCCGTGGTGGCTCCCTGGCCCACATCGTGGGACACAAGGACCAAGTAGATTTCACCGAGCTCAAATGCTGAAAAGTTAGTTAGGACCACTTACCATTATGACTTTCATGGGCAGAGTCTCTGATGGGCAATTCAACTCTCCCTGGCTTGACTGCTGAGTAAGTGTCAGACTTTTGATGAGTCACTTTGTGTCCCTCATCTTCATTTAGCCCCTGGCTGAATGGGGTGTGTTGATTCCACCCACCAGCATTGCTTGTCCCTCTTCTCTGCCACGTTGGAAGATAAATCGAAGCCACCTGTGGAAGGAGAGCGCCTATGAAGATGAGGTATCATCATTACCTCATTCTGAGCACCCTTCTGCCAAGTACATAGAAGAAAATTATTAATCACCCCTTACCTGGACAGTGTAAGTATCACGTCTGCATCTATGATCTGCCGATGATTAAAAAGCACTCATTCCACTGATGGTGCCGCCCGATCATCGCACATCCTTGAGGAGGGTCACTCACAGGCACTGCTCCTTGACATCCTTCACAACCCAGCCGAGGTGCCCAGAAGGTCTTTAATGTACTCAGTAAAGTTTACTCCTAGGGTTTTTTTTTTTTTTTTTTTTTTGATGCAGCTGTAAATGGGATTGTTCTCTTAAGTAAGAGAACCACCCTTTCTGGTGGTTCGTTGTTGGCGCATTGAAAATGCAGCTGATTTCTGGGTGTTTATTTTGTGTCCTGCTACTTTACCGGATTCATGTCAGTTCTAGGAGCATTTGGTGGAACCTTGAGGGTCTCTGTGTACAGAACCTGCAAATAGTGACAGTGTCACTTCCTCCTTTGCGATGTGGACGCCCTTGTCCCCTTGTCCGGCTGCTGCCACGAGGACCCCAGCGCTGTGTTGGATGAGGGTGGTGAGTGCAGGCATCCCTGTCTTGCCCCCAGTCTTAAGGGAGACGCTTTCAGCTGTTGCCTGTTGAGTATGATGTTGGCCATGAGGTTGTCCTAAGTGGCCTTTGTGTTGACGTGTGTCCCCTTCATCCCAGTTGCTGAGAGTTCTTTGTCAGAAGTGCTCAATTTTATCAAATGCTCTTCCTTCATCTGTTGATATGATCAGGTGATTTTCACCCTTCATTTTGTTCATATGGTGTATCACAGTTATTGATTTGTGGATATCACACCAACCTTGCATCCTTGGACTGCAAGGAGCTTTGTTAAGTCCACTTGATTGTGGTGTAGAATCTTATACATGTTGCTGGATCTGGTTGGCTCAAATTTTGCTGAGAATTTGAGCGTCTGTGCTCAACAGGGATATTGCCTATAATTTTCTTTCTTTGTCGTGTCTTTATCTGGTTTTGGAATTAGCACAATGCTAGCCTTGTAAAAGCAGCTTGGGAGTCTTCCCTCCTCTGGAGTTTCTTGGAATAGTTTGAGAAAGACAGGTGTTAGTTCAAAGACTTCTTTGAGTGTTTGGTAGAATTCACCTGTGAAGCCCTCTGGTTCAGGACTTTTGCTTCTTGTTACTACTTCAATTTTATTCATTGGTCTATTGAGTTGGTCTATTCAGAATTTCCTCTTCTTCCCGATTCCATTGGAAAGGTGGTGTGTTTACAGGACTTCACCCATTTTGTACAGATTATCCACTGTGTTGGCTTGTAGTTGTTTGTACTGTTTCTTTATATGGCTTTGTATTTCTGTGGAGTCGGTTGTTCCTTCTTTTTCATGTCTGATTTTATTTGGGTTCTGTGTTTTTTTTTTCTTTTTCTTTTAAGTGATTTAGATAGAGAGAAGGGAGAGAGAGAGAGAAACATCAATCTGTTGTTCCACGTATTGATGCATTCATTAGTTGCTTCTGGTATGTGCCCTGAACAGGGATGAGACCTGCAACCTTGGCATGTTGGCACGACACTCTAACCAACTGAGCTCCCAGCCAAGGCAAGTCTCCTTCAGTGTTAAATGACAGCCTTGCTGGGTGGAGTAGTCTTGGTTGGAGGTCCTTGCTTTTCATCCCTTGGACTATTATGGGCCAACCCTTCTTGCCTGAAATGTCTGCTGAGAAATCAGCTGACAGACTTACAGGAGCCGCCCTGTAGGTAGGGCTCTTTCTCTTGCTGCTCTTAAGATTCTCTGTGTCTTTAATGTTTGTTCCCTTAAATATGATGTGTCTTGGTGGGAGCCTCTTTGGGTTCACTTGTTTGGGACTCTCTGTGCTTTTGGCCTTGTGTATCTTTTTCCTTCTCCAGATTAGGGAGTTTAAAAAATATATTTTCTGTACTTATTTTAAGAGCAAGAGGAAGGGAGAGAGGAAAAGAAGAGGAGAAACATCGATGTGCAAGAGATACATCCATCAGTTGCCTGTTGCATGTCCCCAACAGTGGACCTGGCCCCAACCCAGGCATGTGCCTTGACTGGGAATTGAACCAGTGACCTTTGGGTCCACAGGCTGGCACTGAGTCCACTGAGCCAAACCAGCCAGGGCTTTTTTTTTCCTTACCTGAAGACATGCTTACAGAGAAGAACGGGAGAGAAGAACATGGATCGGTTGCCTCCTGTGTGAGCCCCAACTGGGGACCCAACCCATCAGCTTTGTGGAAGACCCTCCAACGAACTGGCCCACCCGGCCAGAGCCAGGGTAGGGAAGTGTGTAGTCATGATCACCTCCAATAGGTGTCTGTCCCGTCTCTTCCTCTTCCTCCCCTGGTGCCGCTGTGATGTGGGTGTTGTTACACCTCATGTCGTCCCACAGGTCTCTTCAACTGTTTTCATTTTTAAATATTTTTCTCTGTTCTGGTTGTGTTTCCTGCCATCTTGACTTCCAAATAGCTGGTTTGATCCTCTCCTTCATCCAACCACTTATTCCTTCTACTATTTTCATTTCAGATGTTATGTCCTTCACTTCTAACTTATTTTTTTTTACTGCTTCTCTGTCCTTTTTCATGCTTACTATCTCTTCATTTCAGTCCTCACTAATTGCGTCCACTGTTCCCCTCAGTTTTGGGAGTATCCTTGGGCTCTGTTGCTGTGGATTCTCTCTGGTTGAGTTCCGGCGTGCACTGCATTTGGCTGTTTCTCTGGAGATTCCTTCTGTTTTCCACTTGGGGCTGCTGCTCTGTGTCCCCGCTTTGGCCGCCTCTCTGTGTTTGTTTCTGTGTATTAGGTAGATCTGCCACGATCCCCAGTGTTGGCAGGGCGGCCTCATGGTGTGGGTGTCCCGTGGGACCCAGTGGTACAGTCTCCTGATCGCCTGAGTCGGGTGCTCCAGGAACGTCCCTTGTGTGGGTCCTGAGGGCCCTGAGTCAGTCCAAGACTCTGCTGGGAGGCCAAGGTCACTGGGGCAGGACAGCTGGGAGCCGGGAGTGGTGCGGGGCGTGTCCCCTTTTCGTGTCTCTGCACTTCGGACCGGCCTCCCTGTGGCGGCCTCTTGAAATCCTTGGTTATAAGACTTCTCTTCAGCTGGTCTTCAGTTGGTTGTTCTGGTTTTTAATTGTAACTGCATTTTGGTCCTGAAAGGAGGCAAGTGTGATATGCAATTGCTCCTCTGCCATATTGGATCTCTCGAGATGTCCTTCCTTTAAGGAGGAATAATATTCTGTTTTATCCATCGGCCACGTTGAATTTACTCATTCACCTGTCAGTGGAACCCTTGAGTTGCGTCCACGTTTTGGCCACTGTGGGAAACGCCGCTGTGAACAAGGCCGTGCACGCATCTCTTCCAGATGCGCCTTCAGTTCTTTAGTTCTGGGGTTTTCATTGTGTTGCGGGGGAACCTCCATGCTGTTCCTCACAGCAGCTGCAGCAGTGAAGGATGTGAGGCCCGGGCTGGCTTTCTCTGCCAGAGTGGAATTAAAAAGTCCAAGTAGGCCACATGCCCGCACTTCAGGAGTCCAGGCCCCGCAGTCCCGTGAGAGCAGCCATGTGGAAGGGCTCTGCAGAGGGGCCCTGGGTTCTCAGAGGCCAGGGAGCTGCTTCCAGCTGCGGGTGAATCCTGGGTCCTTGGGATGTGGTGGTGGGACGAGAGCATGCTGGGGTCATGGGGCTGTGACCCTGTCACTGTGTCATGAAGAGGTTTGTCCCCTCGTATGTGCGGATCCTAGCAGATGCCTCCCTCCATTTGCTTCTTAAGAGAAGTGCAGTTGTGTTCAGATGTCCGCCCAGATGCGTGGTAACCGGCTGCCGGGCAGTCTCCTCCCAGCCTCTCCCTAAGGGCTGGGTGAGCCAGGCGGGCTGGGGTACATGGGAGGGTGGGTGGGTGGGCGGCTAAGGATCCCTTGCGTGGGGTAAAAATGCTGTTGGAATCATGAAGGGTTTTTAAAATTTTGTTCTGTGTCTGCTCCCACTCTAGAACGAAGCAGCCGAGTGAATGCTTAGCCCCCTCTCAGGGCAGCCCAGCTCTGCCTGCACCAGCACAAGAGGCCACCTGGACAGGACAGAGGCCCCACGGGGGGAGGAGATGGGCCACTTCTCTCCCAGCTGTGTGAGTCTGTCCCAGCAGTGGGTCCGTCTGCACTGCTGACGGCTGCTGGAGCCAGCAAGGCCTTTAGACACGACACTGACATGATCTGATTTATACTTTTTAAAGGTCACTCTGCATTATATGTCTATGTATTTTTAATAATCTAAATTTTTTCAATTAGAGTTGACATCTAGATTTAGATTCAGGTGCACCATGTAGTGGTTAGACATTTTAAGGTTACAGAGTGATTTCCCCAGTAAGTCTAGTAGGGGTGTCTATCAACTGGGTGTTCATCCTATTCACAAGAGCTCTCCCCTCAAAGGCCCCACCTTTTATTTATTTGTGATTTATCTCACTGGGGTGCCCCTGGTTCACACAAGGATTTGGTTTTCAGCAGCACAGTTGCATAGAACCTCATGTGTATATTGCACTGTCTGTTCACCCCCAAGTCAAGTCTCCTTCCATCACCATTGCCTCCCCCCTGGACCCTCTTCTCCCCTCCCCCCACCCCCTGGAGGTCACCCGGTGATTTGACATTTAAAATGATGTTTGAGATGCGTGTCGAGGGCACAGGCCATGGAGCTGCGATTTCCAACACATGTGCCTCGGCCCACTCGTGTGGCGCAGCAGTTTTTAAAACACCCCACACCTGACTGTTGATTCAGGGCACTGCCTTCTTTCCAAGGCTATTGCCATGTTTTCCTCTTTCTGTCTTTCTTTTTTCTCTTTTTCCTTTTTTCTCAGGTGCTTCTTTCTAAGGAATTGTGCTTTACGTTTTCTAAGATCTGAAACGGCCAAGCAGCATTTCTTTAGGCCCCAACTTGAAGCCAGGGCGTCATACTTATCGGGCACTGTAAGGGGACAGGCCTGTGCCCAGCCTGCACAGTTCGGTGCCGCGCCCCCTGGGGACCGGGCACACCCGTGGAAAATCGCTCGTGTAGACAGATGCACAGGGTGAGGTGTGGT